AGGCTGTTTAAATGCTGATTATTTGCTTCTCTTTAGGAGCCTAGGTGCACATGCAGTACCATAAGCAAACAGCCCATCTTCCTGGACAAAACAGCCTTATTTTGGTTTACTTTATATTTCCAGTATCCCTCCTACACAACATCACTCGTTTCTTTCTGTGTGCACCGGTAAACATCTCCAACTCGTCTCCACAAAAGCCCCTTTCGCATGTTTTTGCCTACAGCTGCACGAGTGTGTCCTAGAAAGCCCGTCTCTGCCCTTGCTGTGTGAATGTGTGTGTGTGAACAAATGAGACACAGCAGATGAATGGAGCTCAGATCAATTCCCCTCAGACAGACCTAATGCAGCTTCTAATAATTGCCTGAAGATAGGGAAAGTGTGCTGTCAAAGGGAGAAAAGAGACACACAAAAAAACAAGAGCTTTTTGCAGTGAAGATCACTTTTTTTCAATTTGCCTTCAAAATAAATAGCTTATTAATGATGTCTGTTGGCAAAGGGGCAGCAATTCTACCTTGGCTAGGACAATGATGACTCTTAAAGCAGTCTGGAAAGCAATCCAAAAGACAGGAAGGTAAAGACTTTCTTGTAAGAAACTCTGTAATTTAATCCTCTGATATAAGCTCATCAGCTCGTGTTTTAAATAAAAACTAACCTCTTTAATTTCTGAAAACTTGTGTACGTAAATATATTATTTGAGCTTATACGGTGTCTATAAAACATGTTCACCCCCTTGGATGTTTTTTTTTTTTTAAATTTCCGTCATAAATCGGTAATTATCAATAAAAATGTGCATTCATTGAAAACACTTATTTTAATGTCCAGTGAAATCAAGCTTCTACAGAGTAATATCAATTAAATAAAAATATGCAATGTCATAAACGTGAGTGCATACATCTTCAGCCCCCTTTACAGTGATGTCCACAATTCAACAAAGAGAAAAGATGATTGAAAAGTATACGTTAGGAGAGGGAAACAAATGAATTTCCAAGACCCTAAACATCCCCAGAGTTCTGTTACATCCAGCATCAAGACATTGAAGGAATACGGGATATGTGTATAGCAGGTTGTCCTCACAAACTGAGTGACTGTGCAAGGAGAATAACGAGAGAGACCACCAAGACGCTGGAGACCACTGGAGGAATTACAAGCAGGGCTCAATTTGAACCAGATCCTGCCGGAACAGGATCTGGGAACGCTCTTATTTTGACAGGGTGTGTTGCGGTAACTATTTGCTTGGATCTGGTAACTCTCAGGCTTACTAATAATAAAGTTATGAACAAATGTGACTGCTTTGAATGAATAAAAAACTGTATTGGATATGTAATCTGACAATAATTACATAAACACAAATTTTAAACACAGCACTTCCGACTTCTTAATATCACATACGAGCTGCCCCTTCAAGTAGCATTTATGCCTCTACCCTTAAAAAATTTCCGCCCCTAAAAGAACAGTTATGGGCAATTTAATTAAAAACACAATAATGTAATTAAACAGCACAGCTAAAGTGCACATCAGTTTTACAGTTCAAGTGGGTCATTAGTAAAATTCTGATTATTTATTAAAAATATGAGAGAAATGTTAGATGGGTAATCACGTTACGTACCAAAACAATGGCACCAATTTGTCAAAATAACAACGATCAATAAGTCGAAAAGACAGTCCAATTCAATTTCATAAAAAAAAAAAAAAAAGTCTTCTCATTGTACAAACTAAACAATCGAGAATTGAAGCACATGAAGGCAGTGGAGATACTACTGGAGCAGGCGCAAGTGGCGGGGGTGAGTGCCGAACTATGGCTGTCATACCTGGGCAGGAGCCCACAGCCAGCCGCCATGAACAGCCCGAGGAGGAGCCTGGGGGTTTCACATGTGGAGGACAACGGTGAGGACAGTGAATTCAGCAAAGAAGAGTCGTGCTCAGAACCGTCAAGTGAGGGATGCCCAACAATCTGGACAGCTGCCCAGTTCAAAGCCAAGCAGACCTACTATCCATGGCTTGTAATGTAAAAATCAGGTTTGGGTCGATGAGGGTGGAGGAGGGGTTGATGCTCGAGAGAAGCGGAGCATGCTCTATTCACACAAGGAGAGATGTTTGGGGTCAAACTGCTTGTTGTGCTGTGCTCTCTAAAATAGTTATTGAATCAAGTGGTGCTTAATGTAGGTAAACGTAGATGTTTAACAACCCGTTAAGATACACCAGGAAATGGCATCGACTTCATTCAAAGTTTTCTGGGGAAGCCAGAGCACTCACATTCTGGCATCATTTGGTTTACAAAGTAAGCACTGGTTACAAGCTTCATCAGGTGAGATGGTTAAGACTGAGCATACAACCAGTTCTTCATCAGACTAAGCTTTATAAGGCAAAGAGAAAGAGACCATTGAAGAAAACACATAAATGAGTTTAAGGGGGACACATCCGAGCTGCAGCAGCTTTGACGGTGACAGCAGTGTTAACCCTGCAGCCAGCATGGACGTACAGTGCAGCATGTATCTTTTTCAGAGCATGTGGGTCCTTTATTTGTGTATGTGTCCATGCAAATGTAACTGTGGGGGCTAACCCTTCAGCACAATGCAACAATCTGTTCCCTGTGCACTGAAAGAGAAACTGCCCTACTGTCTGGTCTGCCAAGACAGGGTGTGTGTGAGAAATTAGTGTAAGTGTGTCTACACTCTTCTAAGCACTTCCCTATGAGTTCTGTGGTGGTGGTGGTGTGTGTGTGGGGGTGGGGTGGGGGGTGGGGGGGGTAGAGAAGCATCTGGATCTGCGTTTGTGAGCTATCCAACAAAAATAGGTGATACCCATTTGTTACCCCATATTAAAGATATTTAAATCTTAGCGAAAATTTGAGCTTATATGGTTTTGAGGCAAAAGGCTAAGCTGTTGAAACTTCAAGAACATCTAGACTTTGCTGCTATTTTGAAGTTGTTTATATGAAATGCTTCTTCAAATAAAGAACTATTTTGTGCTTAGAGATCAAGAAACAGTGATTAAAGGAAAGTGCTATGTGTTGTCATCATTGTATGTTCCCATGTAGTGGAGAAGTTGGTTCGCTGCATTTGGCCCATCACACGTGTAATACACCCAGGTGGAGCAGTGGACAGCTTTGTAGATGCCCAGGGAGCAAATAGGGATTGGGTGTTTTACTCAAAGACACCATATGGGAATAGCTGGGGATCAAGCCTGGGACTTTTGGGTCCTGAGTCGGCTGCACTGCCTCTACCCCATCTCGGCCACTGAATAATCATACCAAACTTATTGATTTTTTTTTTCACTCGAACAGGATGAGTAGGTTGGAGCTTTATTGCATGCTCATAAAAAATGTTGCTTTTCTGCAGCATAATTTCACTTCTCCTGATGTTAGACCTTTATTATTCAGACATCTCTGTGCACAATCATCTGACAAACATCCTGTGGATGACATTCAGACATAAAAACTTCTGGGGGACAGTTCACCTCTCAAGATTGACCATTTAAGTAATGAGAATAAAAACATCTCCAAATGAAACTTACCATATTTACTTTATACTGAATTCAACATAATGTACATGCATTATATTACACCTTAATACTCTACCTATAAAAAGGTAGACACAGTGAGAATAAAAGTCCATTTTTATTCTTCAAATCTTAATAATTTATAGACTTCAGAGAATTTTTCGTTTCCTCACATCAGTTTCAGTGTCACACAAGCATAGTCTACAAATGTTGCTAAGATCTTCAACATGTCTGAAAGTTCAAGGTCTACAAATACAGTAAATAGTTAGGTTTGTCAAAAGAGAAATGTTGTGTTATTGCCACGTTTCAACTCCTTTTGGAAATGTATTAGATTAACTTATTACCATGTGCTTTCAGCAAGCACAAAATAAACAAACTTATTCCAAACTATAAGATAGAGCAAGTTTGGTCAGATCGATAAAATATTTACATCAGGCCTTTTATAGCAAGAAAAAAAAGTTTGTTTTTTAACAGATCAGAGTTTTATATCTATCCATCCATCCATCCATTACGTTTACCCGCTTCTTCCTTTTTGGGTCACAGTGTCACAATTGGCTGGTGCTGGTGAACCCAGTGGTGCAGGTAGGCAAGGACTCAAGATAATATAAAATAAGGAATTTATTTTACAAAACAAAAGAGCAGACGGGGCAGCAAACTTACATAAACCAGGAGATGAACACAAGGAGCAGACTAGGCATCACAAGGAATGGGACAGGACATCACCAGTGGACAGATAATAATGCCAGGACAAGGACTAACACAGAGACACAGACTTGTATACAGAAAACACCAATTAGACCAAGTGATGATACCTTTGAGTAATCACAGATGCCAGAGAAGGCGAAAGAGGATGCAAGACATGAACACGACACAAGATGGGGCAAGATACTAGAGAAACCCAACCCCTATAAAGAGAAACAGAGGATCAGGGGGAACACAGACATAAACACGACACCAGGGACAAAACCACAACTCCTACACACAGTGGTCACTGGTGCCCATGTCCAGCCATCACTGTGTGAGAGGTGGGCGACACCCTGGAAATGTCTCCAGTCCATCACAGGGATACATGGAGACAAACAACCGTCCACTCTCTCACTCACACCTAGAGACAATTTAAAGTTACCAATCAGCCTAACATGCTTGTTTTTGGTCTGTGGGAGGAAACCGGAGTACCTGGAGAAAACCCACACATGCATGGAGAGAACATGTAAACTCCACACAGAATGAATCCGGACAGGATTTGAACCGGTGACCTACTCACTAAGAGGCAGCAGCTCTACCAACTGTGCCACCAGAGTTTTATATAAAGGGTTTTATTCTGTGTTTGAAAGCAGATGAATGTTCTTACTAAATGAATATCTAATAGTTGAATAGTTTTCTACACAATAAGATTAGATTCATAAAATTACTCTGGTTAGGATCAGAGTAGAGTATTAGTATTAGTATTATTATTAGTATTAGTAGCTGCTGCGTGCATTTCTCTGTGTTGTGTCCTGTACCTGTGATGGCATGGTGGGAGAACGCTTCTACGTAGGTCAGGTAGTTGTGAGGACAGTGCTTCTTCAGCCACTTGCAGACATCTTGCTGAGTCCACAGAACCACTGGTTTGGACAAACTGGACAGCGTAGGGCTGGTGTGGTAGACGGTGAAGGCTTCACCCGGAAGCAGCTGAAACACGGAAAAATAAAAGATTTATACCAGTCAGTGTAATGTGTTTCAACCAGCTATTCATTTAATGTTTATTTGATTTTAACTTCATAAATATTACTTTGAAACATTGCTTTTTTATTTTACCATTTGTCAAATTAGTGATTCCTTATGTTAAATTTCTCCTCAAGTAGGATTCTCATGTTATAATATCATGCAATAAGATAAGGCCATTTATTCAAATGGCATAATTTGCAATAAAATTCTTACTGGTGGTATAATAAACCATTAAAAATAAGCAGGGGAAAAAAGCTGAGCGTTATGGGAAATGGTTCATTTAAAGCTTACACATTGCTGCACAGACTGTAATGTTTATTTTCCTTTATTTTTCACAAACCACGTTTGTTTCGGACTTAAGTGCCTAAAATTTAGGAGGGACATAATTTGTTCTCATGAGAAATAAATTAAATTAACATAATGAGCCCGTCTGCAACTCAAATCATTAGTAAGCAGGAGGTTTAAAGGTTTGTCAGCACTGAAGGGCAAACAGATGTTGTGTTTGATTAGAATTAGCAGCTTGTTTTTCACCTCACATCCCTGATTTAGAGGGATGTTGTTCAGCTGTTGTACTAATGTTCTGCTTGCTTAATATCACTACTGCCTTTTCTACTCATAATTTCCCCTAAATCCTTCTTTTCACACGCACAGTTAAATAACTTCTAGATTACATATAGGAATATTTATTGTAGAAGTTGCCATTCGTCAGCAGCAGGCTTTTTATGTGCGTGCCATGTATGGAGAATTAACAAGGACATTATTGTCACAATCGGTTCACACAACTGAAAATTACCCCGTCCCCCAGCTCTTTTTCCTTTGTGACATCTCATATCTGATCTTTTCATTCAAGTGTCGACTGAGCCAACTCTCCAACAAAGGTTTTGGCACATTTTCAACAGAAAAACAAAATGAAATGCAGAACCGCAGCCAAAAGCTTGGCTTCATAATTGACTGCATTCAAGAAGATTAAAGACAAAAATACATTCATACACATGAATGCAACTTGCTCACACTTTTGTAGCTTAATGCACAAATCTCTTGCTGCTGCTGCTTTCACACACACCGCAGAAGAACCAGGCTCCAGAAAAATCTTCACATCTCAATTTGTGATGAACACAGGTTTGTAGAATTTGTTCCACACAGCTTTGCATGCTTCTGTAATGAGGCCTCCTCCTTGAGGCAATATCCATTTCTGATAATGGTCCACTAAGAGTGGTCTGCTTCATGAGCCTTAATTGAAACCAACTCAATTTCTCTCCACTTCAGAGTGTTTGCTGCATTTCTAATTACACACATATTTCTGCCTTTGGCTTAGTTGAGTGCTAAAGCCATCTTAATAAGCTAAATTTAAGACTCAGTCATTACTTGGGATGGAGGTGTGCTTGGTGAGAAGAAATCAAGGAAATCTTTCCTTCAGCTTTGAATGGCCTGCACTGAAACTGCAAGCCTGCTGATTAAGTCCTTATCATCTTTACTGTCCTCATTTTCATACAGCTGAGTAAACATTTTAGTGAGAGCAATAGCTTGGACAATAAATGTCTCTAGGGCAAACTTAGCAGGACAAATGGATTTAATCAGCATTATGTCAAAGGCAAGGTGTTCTGCTGTCTCGTCTCAACCAAACATTGTTGTAATCCTCTAACCTGAGGGGCTGAAAGGCTTAAGACAAATAAAAAGAGACTTGGTTTAAGAATATTTTAATGTGAGCAGTTAAAAGCAGAAGAAAATAATATTTATCTAATATCTAATATTGTTATTTGAAAATTTCTCTATCCCACGCTTCCAACTCTTAACTGTTAGTTAAAAACAATAGCTGAAGTCATGGATTAGTTACGAGCTGTGTTCAACATTACTGTCTAAATATATTAACTACTAATGAAATTATCTTGCATGTTAAAATGTAAGACCTCCTAAAAGTCCCTAAGGCCCAGTTTAAAACTCGGGGTGATCTACCCTTTCAGTTCATAGCCCCCGGGCTGTGGACTCGTGGTCATCTCTGTTAATTCACCTTAAAGCCCCCAGTATACTCCCGCGTACGTCCGTTCACGCGTACCTACGCGTGTACTGTACGCAGAGGGTTCAGATTTCATACTCGAGCGTACACCCTGAGCGGCTGCAGTCAACTCCACAGATAAGGGGCGTTTACCTTCGAGACAAATTGAGGTCACCGATTGGTCATTTTCTGACATGCGTACTGGATTGATTGACAGGTCAGAAAAAAAAAAAAAAACGAGTGCTGGCACCCTCAGCCGCAGCGGTGTTCTGTGTTTATATGTTGTTAATAAAAAGATCTAAAAAAACTGGGAGTGCTGGCTCTGCAGCCCACACATCAGACCAGCCCACCAGGAAATCTCCAGACCCTCCTGCAGCCATGCTGGACCTGAGTTTAATTTGCTCGTGACAGATTCCTTCATTTCTCACCATTTCAGTCATGGCATCAATGGAGGAGGAAGAGATCACTGCCTCTTGGCAAAAAAACAAAAGAAAAGGCCAGATCAGGGATGAAGAAGAGGAATTTAATACATTGGTGTCGCATACACGGACATGCCCTGGGGGGTATGCTCGTACCTCCGCGTACTTACGTGCGTACCTCCGCGCGTACCTCCGCGTAAGGACATACGCGGGAGTATACTGGGGGCTTAAGACTTAAGACACTTCATCACTTGCTCTTGCTGAGGTCGGACGCCTTTCCCCTCCTCTCCCTCCTCTGCTTTGCTTTGCTTCTCTGTCCTGTCTGTGAAAATGCTTCTGAGCCTCTCTCTACATATCTTCTGAACCATAATTTTGTGGATCTGGTCAGTTGGTCTCTCAATGCAATGGACAAAATTTTTGAGGGAAGCTTCAGGTGAGCTGAACTGCCCCGACGACACATTCTGCTGTCGATCAAGTACGCCGAAACTGCATATAATTGGATTTATGATAACAGGTTTCCTGTTTTTGAAATTGTCTGGTTCCTGGTTCATCAACATACAAAAAAGACAGCTGCAGCTAATCTGGCCTGGTCAGGCTGCCGTCTGTGTGAAGGTTTGCTCTGTGTCTTGTACACCCAGACTATTGCTTAGTGGACTGGATCGCAAATTGGATGTGATTTGTGAGAATCGCAGGTCATATGCGGCCCCTAGGACTCACTGACAAGATGGATCAAATCTCGGGGAATATTCTCAGGCACGGATCAGTGGTGTGTCCACTTAATTTGGACCTTTTGGAATCTACGTGAGACCAGCAAAGACTCAAGGCAAATAAAAATTAAAGTTCTGCCTGACTTCAAAAACAAACATTGTTTATCTGAATTTGGCTCCCTCGGCTGGCCTTGCAGATCACCTTATCTCAATTCGCCTGGAGCCTTTGTAATCTGACGCTCTGCCCCCCTCCCTCCCATCAAGGGATTCCCCTGATCAACCTGAGGAAACTAACTGAATAAACGTGTCATCATTTCAAGACTTTTGATTCTCTCTGGCGTTGTCCTTGGCCATTCCCCAACATCCCTCGAGAATGTTTTCGGATCTCACCAGAGGGAACTGGCTAATTATTCCATCCTTATCAGAACTCCTACAGTGCCCTCGAGAGCATCCTTGGACATCCTCACCGCCCTTGTCATCCACCCCCCCGCGGAATGTTCTACGTCATCATATGTTTGTATGTGCAAGGTGTTTTTTCATTATAAGGGTCTTTCTCTCAGCCAAGAAGAAAGAGTTTGATAGGAATTGTTTTGCCTCCAATTCCCATGTGTTCAGTTTCACGACTTTTTTTTGTCTGTCTAAACAGATCTCACTTGCAAATGAGTTTTGGAGGTTCAATGTAACTTTTCTGTCTAAGTAAAGGTTGAATTGAATTGAAAAAACACATTTTTATTCAAACAAGCTTTTTGATCATCTGTTCTTACTGTTTGTGTTTTATTTTAAGCCTTTGTCTGTATTTCTGTAAAGCACGTTATGATTTCCTCTATGAAAGGTGCTATATAAAGTTTACTTACTTGCTTATTTCCATAAAACAGACGTTATCCTGTCAATGCTAACAGGCTAAATGTCTTAAATGTTTAGCTAAAACTTGTTCTGTCAATTAACAATTATCACCTCCACAGCCCGCCCTCGCCTTCCTCCGAGACAGTCATGCCAAAGTGGTTCAAAACACCAAAGTTCATGTTCATTCATCTGGACGGTTTCTTTTTTTTACTGAGATGTTTCATCCGTCATCCAAAGGACTTCTTCAATCTGAGGAGCCACCAAACAAAACTGATTCTCTACAGACAGCATACTCCATAGTGGGGGTGGGGGTGGGGTGGGGGTGGGGGGGCTACAGTTTCCTGGTGCTAAGAAAGACTAAGAAAGATGAAAGACTGTCTCAGAGGAGTTGACGGGAGAAAGGGCGGACCCTGGAGGCCATCTTAGCACCAGCAAACTGTTTTTTTCCCCCACTATGCTGTTTGTGGAGAATCAGTTTTGTTTGGTGGCTCCTCAGATTGAAGAAGTCAGTTGGATGACGGACGAAATGTCTCAGCAAAAAGAGAAACCGTCCAGATGACCTGACTGAACATTGTTGGAATCAACAAACATGTTTCAAAAGACTAATGGATAATTTTAAGCAGACCTACAGGATGAAACAGAATGTTTATGTTTTTCAGGAGATGACCCCAAAATCTGTAACAGTTACCCTTAATCATGTCTGTTCTACAGGGACACTGGTTCAGTACAGAATTAAGAAAAAGCCCACTACCGCTCCACTGAAGTATAGCTTCACAGCAATCCCAAATGCCAAAGTTGCAATACTTAACTAAATATTTAGTGATTTACCTTTGCTGACAGGCAGAGTACAGTATATATGGCAAAAAATATTTACATTTTCACTAAAAGACACAGAACGGGAGTGTTGTTGCTTTTCTTTCGGCTGCACCCTTCTGGGTCGCCACAGCAAGCAAACTCGCACAAAAGATTTGGTAATTGTTTTACACCGAAAGCACTTCCCGA